TTCAATGATAAATCCACTTGGTGACCCTCGTTGATACTCTTGCTTGCAAACTTTCAGTACTTCACGCAGAGCCGTCACTCCCGTGCGTGAGGGGGCCTGCAACTGGGACGAACGATACCGGTCATTTTGTGTCTGTCCGTTTCCACCTTCGTGCTGTGCCTCGTCGTGTTACCTAAACAGTGATTTATTTTTTTGTTTCTTGAATTGTGTTGTCGCTTCCATGAGGGTTACCACACTCTTACTACAACCGCCTCCTTGGTCAGAGGGCGCAGCTCTATTGGCCGGGTTTTTAATCTCAAGGCAGAAAAACCCCTTCATCTGCAAACTCTAACCCGTTTGCCTGAAAATACCACAGTCTAGATTAGCTGCTAAGGGCCAGCTACTCATAACTCCTCGACTATCGAGGGCAGCGGGAATGGAGGGGCCGTGAGTGTCAACGATAGCAGCTAGGAAAATTAGCTTTCTTTCCTGTAAAGAAATCCACTCTGCTGCTGTCAAATCTTCAGAAGTTGCTATTTGGACACTCTTCGCCAGGTTCCTCCTCACCAAAGGTATCCGTCGCGTTCATTCTCCAGCATTCTGCTGGCTTGGCTTATGCGTGCTTGCGGCTCTGCCATTGTACACAGAACTGGCGTTCTAAAGGGGCTTCTAGGAGAAGGAGCTGAACACGATCGGGTAGCNCTGCCATTGTACACAGAACTGGCGTTCTAAAGGGGCTTCTAGGAGAAGGAGCTGAACACGATCGGGTAGCCGTCGTAGACGCCTGCACAAAAGCGCGCAATGACTACCCCCATGCAGCTGGCACGGCAGATTTCGCAGCCGGTACTTCCAACAGTGGAGCAGAAAGGAATGACGCTTGGCTTGAGGCATCTGTCGTGAACTATATAGACTTGCATCCGTGCCCCTTTTCATGGAGAGTATTTCCTGTCAGGCTACATAGAGTGGATACTGGCAAGACCGTCTTTTAGAACTGAGCTCCTGTCTTTGCGTAAAGAATTGCATTATGCATTGCATATGCGAAGAATCAGTTGCATTGACTGCGCCTGCTTCTGTTGAATACGCAGCTGACGGTGATTGGCCCCTTGCCCGTTGGATTGCCTCGGAGGTTCTCAAACGAAAGTCTCAAGGGACCGGTAAGCACTACCATATTCCCTCAGCTCAACGGTACTAGTCAGCAGAGAGAGACAATGTATCCGTGTAGTATTTTGTGCGTGGCTCTCAAACGCGTTCACTTAATCATTTCGTGTTCCTGCTTACTACTTCACCTTCACTGAACGTCTAGGGTTGCACGCGTGCGGGCGTGAAGGCCCTGTTGGACAGTCCGATTTTTAGTGTTAGGATGTTCGTGTTTGCTGCTGTTGCCTCTCTGTTGCCTCTTTGCCACTTTGCATGCAAATATTCTGTCTTCTTTGTTGTTCAAGAGAACCCAGCTAATGGACAGTTGCCTATCATCGTCGGAATAACGGGGCCACAAGGATGTGGCAAGACGACGCTCTGCGCTTCCCTCCTCGTGAGATGAATTCAGTCCATATTTTTGCTCTAGACTCAGCAAACCCCTCGGATACCTGCAGCAGCAGCGGCCGCAGCAGAAATACAAGCCAAGTGGCACCAGAAGCAATAGTGGGAGTGGTGCCACCATTTTGCAGTTTTTCGTTTCGTACTGGTTGCGGCAGTTCACGTTGCGTCCGAGCTGCGACAGCACTCCCATTGCTGTTTTCGTGCCAAGCAAAAACTATTCTTACTCCTTTCCTTGCAGCACGAAATTCGCTTTGGACATACCCTCGCTGTCTGTCTATGTAGGCTGGTCTCAGCGTCTTAGGCGTGAAGGCGGCAACAGCCTCTATGGATGATTTCTACTTGCCCACTAAACTTCTACCACCCATAATCTTCAGGGGTGAACCCAACGCCAGGCCAAGACTTCTTCCTCGTCGTGGCCCTCCGGGCACACATGATCTAGCCCTGTGCTGCGGCGTGCTGAGACGCATCAAGGAGAGAGAACCGTATGTTTCTGCAGGAAGTGCAGTCCTGGTGGGGGAGGGAACATGTCGTGCATGTTACTTAGTGTGTTTAGTGAAACTAACTGGTTGAATCTTTAGGCTGTAGGGGTGGTCGCCTAGGGTTGGGGCTGCGACTGCTGTGGCATCTCTCCAGGAACATCATGCTGCCCAAGTACGACAAGAGTCAAATGAATGGAACGGGGGATAGATCACGTGAAGAGGTCCCGCTGGATGCAGCGGATCTCGACGTGTTTCTGTTGGAGGGATGGATGCTTGGTTAGTCACGCTGTTGCAGCTACCTCTGCCGTCACCACTGCTTCTTATGCTGCTCATTGAGAAGGCTTGCACTGCCTATACTGCTTTAGATCCAGCTGGTCTTGCTGTCGCTCCTTAAAAACGCCAGACTGGAGGTTTCATATGTCGTACTCATAGACGTATCCCTACCATCAATCTACACCCAACGGCAGATGCAGGCATGGGTGTTCCCCTGCATATATGTATTCTGCGTTTCGTTGCACATGAGCAAATCCATACTCACGCCCTTGTATTTTGCTCGTCCCCCCACAACCACGTAGATTAGGTTGTCTGTAGAGTATGCATATGCATTAGGGAGAGCCTCAAGAGGTTTTTTCGCACATGCTTCTTTATATTTAGCTGCACATCTCTCGTGGGTCTGCAGGATTTCGTCATGTGGATCCGGATGCACTCATGGAGTGGGATTTTTCCGACGAGCAACGAGAAGAACTGCTTCAAATTAACGAGTTCGCTTGCTGTT